AACTTGCTGTAAGAAAATAAGCGTGAGCTCAAAATTGAAGCTGAACTCTGAGCCACATATGAGCTACGGATTCCTGGGTTATTTGGACAAGTCACTGCTTTAAAAGTAAATTTTTATCACACTTGGTTTGCAAAGGAACACGCAGAACCCAAAATGCAGCAGTCCTAGATGCCAGACGTAACTGGCCCTGGAGGACTTGAAACCACTCAAAGCCCAGCTATGGGAGGAAGTGGCAGGTGACTCTCCCACTCCAGGAGCCAGCCCCTGCCAGCATGCCTGTACTGGGGCTGGAAGGGACAGGGAGTGTGATCCCTTTGCTGAAACACATCCTGGCCTTAGAAGGGAGAGACTACAGGGGGATCTGGGCTACCCAAAATCAGTCCTTGGTGTCACCCCTTGAGGCAGACTGGCCAGCTCTGGGCTGCTCTCCCACCTCACTCAGCCTGGAATGCTCTCACCGAGCCTACATTCAGTGTCAAATAGTTATCCACTATCTATTTCCATCTCCATTGATGTTGCCACAGGCATACTTGCCTTATGAAAAGAAATTCACCATTCAGATACTGCCTCATCCCCACAGCCTAAATACTTCTCTCCTGTCTACTGGAACTGGAAAAGATTAGGAACCATGGGACAAACATTTTAAATGGCTTAATAAAGATTTCAGCTCAATGAACAGCAATCTGCAAGGAATGGGTTATGATATAGGCTGCATCAGTATGTTGATGGCAAATAATATGAATATATTACATATACTATTCATATACCTGTACCGCTAAACTGCAAAAAGAAGAGCGATATATACTGCTTAAATAACTAGAATGGACACCAGAATTATTTGCTTGAGAAGAAAGCCAGGAAACAACCTCTGCATCCAGAGAACAAAAGTGGAGACATTCTCATATGCTTAAATTTTAGTTCTAAATTATAACCTAACAAATGTGGATAGAAAATTTGAGGGGGGAAAAAAAAAAGGATTTTATCATAACAAAAATTATCAGTTCTCAAAAACATTGTATTATTTCAAAACCTATTTAGAAATTATTTTATTTGGGGAAAAAAAAAGTTTAAAAGGGTTAAATAATACTAAAGCTATTTTCTTTCAGTAAGTTTCACTGCAACTTCCCAAATACTCACTTGACTTTACAACCCATTGATATGCCCTAGCTAGATCCTTCTATCTATCTTACCAGTTCAGCTTATTACCAGTCTTTATCACTTGACCAAGATCATTTCTTTGAGGGCTTAGTCCTGCAAATCATTGATATTCTGGCCCCAGTCTACAAAGCACTTGGACAGATATTTGGCTTCAGTGAAACTGCTGATGGAATTAGAGTTAAGACTTGAGTACTGGTTTTGGATATAGGCCAGAGAAGATTTTTCTTTGCAGGATTAAGTCCTAAATCTCCCTCCAGAAGTGGTTCAGTTCCAGTTCTTTACCCATTGTTTTGTTCTCTGAATTTCTTCATTTGCTTTTATCTTTTGGATGATAATCAAGGCCTAAGGCCTGATTCACTCATATATTGTTACTCTTTTACATTAACATAATAACTTCAATGAAGTGTCTTAAATCAAATCTGGGAAATTATTATCTGGGTGAATTAATGTGTTCATGCACTGCTGGTTTCAGACAGCTGGTCACTAGTAAAAAAAGTGTTTCCCTCTGTAGATCCTGCTGTACAATTGCATAAAACTATACCAAAGAATAATTTTCCTCTTCTTTGTGATGAGAAGAAAAAAAACCCACAGGTTTCTTTGCCAACAAGCTCTTCCTGGTAACAAGCATAAAGCAAGAGGACTTAAACAAGGAAGACAAAAAGGAAATTAAAATCTATTACTATACTCTAATAAGCTTTAGAGGCCGGCATGTTCGTGGGAGATGATTAACTTCTAGATGTAGCAAGTCTTTCAAAAACAAATTCACAATATTTCTGGCAAAAATCACTGAGGTAGAAATCCACGGTATGCTAGGGAATAAATTCTCATTCACCTGTGAGGCATTGATAAATTTTGTTTTCCTTTGTTCTTGTTGAATTTAAAACATATTAAAGTCAGCCCTTTACATTACTCTAGACTTCAACTCTCATGCAATTTTACCATGTTTTTCTATTTGAAATTATTTGACAAAATTTTGTGAAAACTTTGTAATTTCCATAGGCTACTCTACTTGACACCATCATATTGCACATTGATGGACAAAGTCTGCTCTATGCCTTCTCAAAAGCATGCAGAACACCATCTCTTGACTTCCATGTCTCTCCATAGCTCTGACAATAGCTCAGTCTGAACTTCAGCATGTGAGTGGATTTGCAGATCACAGCAATTTTTGCAGTTAAATAGAGCAGTAGAAAGTAATCACATCTCATTGCAAAGCTAGTCAAAGCTCATTTCAGACACTGTATAACAGAAAAACTACATAAGAAGCAAATCAAATCCTTTCAAAGTCAATTGTGATTTAAGGAAAATGCATCATCTGGCAAAACCTCAGTTCCTTATTTATCAGCTGAAATACATCTTGCCTAATCTAGTAAACAACAACAGCAGCTCAAGTTAACTTTAAGACAAATGATTCTAAGTAGATTGTTCCCACTTGCATTTTGATAAAAGTGCTAGAATTTACTATAATTAAGGACTTTCACACATGATCCCTCAAAGAAAATCTGCTTTGGTAGAAGTCAGTGATATGATGCATGTTAATTCTTTACTGTTAATATTAATACAATCTTGTGCATGTTTTTTCTTCAGTGTGTTTTGACAAAAATATGCAGTGGGACAGCCCTCAGCAAGAAAAGCAAGCTGAGCTGGTCTTGGAATAGGTGGATGTTAAGAATTTGTGAAATAAGTCGAGAACATCAACAGATCTGTGGTATCCTGAATAATATGATCAGTTCCACTGTCCTGCTAGAGCCAGGGCCCAGATAAGATGCCCACATTTGTACTGATTTGTGGAGATATGAGAAGATACACTTTGTGTTACTGCCTGATGGCTTCCAGCTGCCTTTTGGTAGAAGCAAGCCAGACTACAGCTGCTGAGTCATGCTGGGGTCTTGGCTTGGCTTGCATCAAAATACATCTGGACATGCACACAGCCTGGAAATCTAAAGACTATTCCCAGGTTCTAGAGTCTGGGTGTAGCCTAATTTACACAGAAAGTGAAGGTTCAAAAAGGTATTCAGAAATCTGAATTTCTATTCATGTTCTTTTAAGAACTGTAATTAAATATCTGTTTGTCTTCATGTCCCTTCCTACAGGTTTCAGGTTACAGAACACTGCTATGGCATCTTTACCATATACAACTCCTACAAAGAAAGCTGCTGCCTTTCATAGCAGCTGCAGTTCCCAAAATTATTTAAATTGTCTCTCTGCTTGTCAGGTTTTTTCTGTATAATTTCACATCAAGTATGCATTTTATGTGCCATTTAAATATATTATGTAAAAAACCCCACAAAAAGAATGCACACAATACGAAATTCCAGATTTAATCTGTCCAAAAACCTTCATAATTTACCTTCACTAGGTGTACACTCAGTGAGTCATTTTTTAATTATATGATGCAAATGATTATTTTCCCCCTGAAATGCAGCCTTTTTCACCAAGCCTCCCCCTAAAGGACTTTGCCATTGTTGCATGTAGTCCACATAACAAGCACCTTTCCTCCCAACAACACAATCTTGAAACCATTAGAACTAATTACAGTGAAAAGTAACCATCAAAACATGCCTACTGGCAAAGACCACTGCTCCAGGACTGGATTTCATAGCCCTAGCAAAAGTGAGTTCTAACTGCCAGGCTCCACTAAAGAGCATTACAGCTAAAAAATACATAAATCAAGGTCAAAATTCAGCCCCTCTCTCTTCAAAGCCAGCCTGTGTGTGCGCTCACACACCTTCCCTTTCCTGAAACAGTCAATCTTTTTTGCAATGTACAAAATTATATTCTAACATTTGGAAAAATTCAGACTTCTCACATTTTTAAACCCCTCAACGCTGCCATCCAGGTCTTCAAAATAACCAAAGGGACAATGAACTAGTTATTTTTCAACAATGAAGAAATAGACATCTTTGGACACAGATGAGTAATTGCATATTTTGAAGGATAAATGACCAAAACCAAAATCACGCCCTTTCAAAATACCTAGTCATTGTTCTTCCATGTGAAAGAAAAACTAGTATATTGTTAAATAAACAGGAAGCTTAGTTGTGGGTGAATTTTGGAAAGCAAAACTTTTATGTGATATCTGAATCGTGCAATTTCTGTGAGTTGAGAATACTCCAGCCTACTCTGTCTGCTTCTATCACAAACATACTCCTGGTTTTGGTCATTTATACTTCTTATAGAGGAGAAGAAAAGAAAAATGCTTTTATCCTAAGAAAATGTACTGTAATTATTTTTATTATTTTATTATTTACTCCATTTATAGGCTGTTATCTTAGTCTGTCATTAGCAATTGGTGAAAAATTTTCCAATGCATAAACAAAGTAAGCCTTATGGCAATTAGTGCTATCTTTAGAAATCTACTAAAAATTCTTTTTCTCTATTCCTGCCAAAGCGTGACCTCTTTCTTATGATACAATTATCATAACTATTGAATGTTATCATTACAGACAACTCATGTAAGCATGCAACTTTATCAATAAAAATTACATAAAGGCATTGAAATACATAAAATTCAACCTCAGATCACAGAATTCTAGAATAATTCAGTTTGGTTGCCACCTCAGCAGGTCCTCTACCTCAGCCTCCTGCTGAAAGCAGGTTCCACACTGAATTCAGACTTGCTTGCCCACGGCTTTCTTGAGCTGGGTTTTAAAACTTTACAAGAACAGAGTCCTCAGCCTCCCTGGGTAGCCCTTTCCAAGGTCTGATTGTCCTCAGGGTGATATTTTCCCCCTTTAAGTTAAGCTGGAAGCCTGCACCCAGTAATGGCTTTTGGAGTCTAACCCTGCTGAGCTTCAAGGATAGACAAGCTCAAGTGTGTCCAGGGACATATGACCACATGACATGATGTGAAACAGCTCATAAATTGTCATCCTTGCACAGGGCTGTGCTAATCTCTGTACTCTTCCAAGTTCAGAATATGCACACTAAAATGAGCCACAATCAACACAGTCAACTTTTCTGCTCTGCACCCCCCAGTCATGTACTAACAGGTAATGTGCCTTATTTAGTCCATGGCAAATACAGGGGATAAAATTACCATTACCTCCTAAACACTGCATGTATAGGTTAATCCTATCATAACAATAGACTAGATAGGCTTGAAATAAAAACATACTTTCTACATTGCAGTGCTTGTTACAGTCGAAAAGAAAAGAAAAGAAAAGAAAAGAAAAGAAAAGAAAAGAAAAGAAAAGAAAAGAAAAGAAAAGAAAAGAAAAGAAAAGAAAAGAAAAGAAAAGAAAAGAAAAGAAAAGAAAAGAAAAGAAAAGAAAAAGACATCAGGAGATGTAGGGCCTTGGGTTTAAAGGTGGTGCTTAAATGTAAATGCTGCTATCTGAGACCAATAGCATCAGTGAGAGGCCTTCAGTAAATATAGTTCAAATATAGTCACTGAAACCCTATTGTTAGCAAACCTTTCCAACACTTTTTTCAGATACACCCAATTCATTGCATGGGATTGACAAAGCTTTTCAGAGTTCATCTATTAAACCAGGCAGACATAAGACCTGAAGCTTCTCCACCCCACTTCTTTTTGGAAATGCTCACTCAGACAGCGTTACTGTCCTAATAACAGAAGGAAAGCATTTCTTGTTATGATTTGGCTACAGAGCTCCAATGCTGCTCTGCTTCCCTCTCAGCAGTTTGAAACCCAACACATTACAAAGTAACTATCAGTGGTTTGGTGTTTGGGTTTTTGTTGTTGTTATTCTTCTGTTTTTCTTATGTATTAAATGAAAATGTTCAAAGAGTTTTGGTAAGGTCCATGTCTAGAAATTTTCTCTCTGTGGCTGGAGATGGCTGGCTATCACGTTTCAAAGCCTTACACCACATGCAATGAACCCTTTCCAGTAAATTCAGAGGTCATATGTAACAACCATTTGTAGTTTGTGTAGCCATTAATAAATATTTCTAGGAGTCTGCATCCTTACATACCATTCCCTTACCTGGCAGAGGAGTGGGAAGACATCTAAGGGAGCTGTGAGTCTTAGGAGGCAAAGGGATTAATTACAAGAAATTAATTTTATATAGGGAGACTAGGGAGACAGGGACATCTTTGCTCTGTTTATAAGCAATAACCAGGAGATGCTGCTGTCAAGAATTACACTAACCAGAAATTAAGCCCTGCAGGTGTCCCGAGTTACCTGGAGGAATCCTTTCTTTTCTACACTGACAACAGAGCAGCACTCAAATAGTTGAATCCCCCTTCCTAAAATAAAAGCCCTTCAAAATTATGAAACCACATTCCCAGCTTTTGGTTGTTTACAGGGTAGTTAAAATTTTAGGGTTGTTTTAAGCTGGTATACATGGAAAGCATGATTTAATGAACAGCCCCACTGATAATGTTGGTTTTGCTCTGCAAATTTCTGTTCATTAATACAACCTTCCAATTATTAATGTGAAAAATGAACACAATCAGGAAAACACTGAAAAATATAGGATGAGTGTTCAAAAGTGACACAAATAAAAAAAAAAGAGGAATAAATTTGTACCCCATTAGGGAAATTTCAGTGCATGTATAACATTAAGAGCTCAATATATTTCTTCCATAGCATTAATCTAACAGCATTTTAATATTCAAATAAGCACCTACACTAGGTTTCTCTACTATCAACAGAAGCAGCTCACAAGAAATTAGTTGCTTTAGATTTCTTGGTATCATCAGTAAACAGTAACTTCATCAGTGTTTTAACATAGTTGAAGGGTTGTAAAGAATAGACTGCTTTTGCTCTTGGAAGGCAAATTTTTACATTGGATTATTTTCAGAGGTTATTTTTAGTTTGCCTGGATAGTTATCAGAGTTTTGGTGCTTGCAAGATTTGTATAAATCATGGAAGAAGGTGGCTTAATGATGCAGATGGCACAGGGCCATGGAACGCACACGCTGCCTGCCTTAAAAACAAAATAAAATGCCTTTTTCTTACCACGGCATCGCCAGAAAACCTAAAAGGGGAAAATATCTTTGTTTCATTTGAAATTCAGCCTAGGAATTCCAACTTCTACATACAGATTGCTAGTTTGTGCCTTTTTAAGAGGTACTACCCTGAAGCCCACGTTGAAGAGCTGTGTGCACCTGGAGGTGGTCATTTTACTTGAAATGCTTGGGGTTGCCAAGGGAGTAACTGAAGTTTAGCACTGAGGACAATAGTGGACTTGCATAAAACCAAGCTGTCTACCCCATTAAGGCTTCAGAGAAGGCACAGTCAAGCCTTTTATTTAGTTGCAGGTGATAACGGTGACTGCTTCAGATCTTATAATAAAGGTAGACAGGTTTCAGTTCACCATTGAAGTGGTTGTATAAGTTTTGGATTGTAAAAGTTAGAGGAAGACAAAACCATGAGCTAAGAGCAAAGTTTTTTGGGTAAAAAGCTCTCTTACACATATGAAGCTTTCCAGAATGCTTCTGTTGCGGTCTGGAAAACAAAAAAAAATATCCATAGACCAAAATTATATACAAAATTGTACCATAAATGCGTGACATTTTTATAGATTTCTCTTCTGTAAAAATAAGAATGAAAGCAACTAACTTGCCTGGTAGGTCATACTGCATAGACTATGAATGCTAAATTTTTAACTCCTGGAGAGAAGTCCTACACCTCCAGCTGCAGGACAGTCACTTCTTCAGAAATGGGGATGGACCTTGAGAACTAAACCTTCAAGACTTCTACTGGAAATAGGATTTATTTGATCAATAGTAAATGGCTGCATCTGAGCTACCTAATTAAATCATTTCAAAGTCAATGGGGAAAAAAAAAGATGAGTGTGACAAACTTGGTGCATCTCACCAAAATAGGTGACTGACTCTAGGTAGGATGCCTGTGATCAGCCTCCAGCCAGGTGAGAAGGGTTGTGGAAAGTAGATTATATCTGCAGTAAATTGCTAGGTTGTACTGAAACACTGGAGCCTCCAAGATGCCTTCAGAGAGGAGATGAACTGCCTATTAGAGGTAACTCCAGGGACTACAGCAAGTTAGATCAGTAGCTTAGACTAGATGTGTATTAAATGGCTAAAGATGGGTGAAATAACCCGCTCACCCCCAGGTGTTTTTAACAGGATTCCATTAACAGTAACACTGAGAACGGAGACACTAGTTACAGGCACTATGATCGTGTGGTACTCAGGCTGAAATCTCAGCCCATTTTCTGACTGAATCATGAGAGGTCCCAATATAGAGTAACCTAAACACAGAGAAACATTCATATCCTATGCAGGATGAATGGTATGGGCTCCCTCACTTTGACTGTGCGCTTGAAAAGATCTAGAACAGAACTAGTATTTACAAAATCCTGAATTGCTGCTATCTGAACATTGGACTGGTATGAGACATGTCAGATTCCACATTCATTAATTAAATCACTGAAAAGATGAATACTGATTAAATTAACAGTAATTTCAGACAAGATCTGGTGTGTTCAAAGCAACAGAAAACTCAGAAAGTGTGCTTGGGAATTCTTCATTATTTTCATGACCTCTTAAAGACATGAAAAAATTTGAAACACAACTTCTAACATTTTTTTACCAAAACTTTTAGGTAAGCAATTGATGAACTTTTATATTAGTAGTAATACTCAAAACAATTTATGCTATATTCATCAATGTTACTTTATCAAAAAGAGATACCTGCGTTCTCTGCTTTGCGCACAACACTTTCAAATACGTTGGTGTCTTCTTATTTAGCTTCAAGGGCAGCAATGAGCTGTTGTTTTGGTGTTTCAGCCTGGAATACAAAAGTCTTAATCTTTCATTCTTTGCTACAAGGACTTCAGATTAACTCCGTCGCTAACCAGATGTAAATAGAATCTGTAAATAGAAATCATCTTGACTGCGGAAAAAGTACTGGTAATTTTGTTTACAATTTCACAGTTTAAAATAAATTTAACCCACACCAGCCAAAAGGTTTTAAAATTCTTATAACTAAGCTATTTCACTTGATGTATTCTTTCTCAGTGCTCGTTTGCATTGCAACTGTATGTATGAAGTGGCTGAACTGCAATCATTTGTGGCATTAGAGAAAACATGCTATTTCATTCCTGAGGCAGAACACCCAAGTAACAAATGAACAAACCACAACGTGCAGGATGTTCTTTATTCATGCAAGGATATTGCAGCTATATTCACTGTTCTAAATTATGAGTTTTCTGTAGGATTTTTTTCTAGATAAAGCCAAAAGAAAAAATTAGTTAAACTGATTTTAAGTATTAGCTGTAAGTGCTTAAAAATTAATCATTTGTTCTTTTAGTCTTTTGTCTGACTAGCACCCAAAACATTTAACGAGTTTTTTAAAAGACATTATTTTTATGGATAATACCTTTCTAATTAAGGGTGTAGCATAGACATTAGAGAATAGTGTTCCTTATGGAGTACTCTTAATTGTATTCCTGCTATCCTACTATCAGTGGATACTGAAATAATGAACAGTTTAAATAATCTAGCGACTATTTAGTTAGTTAATCTTCATAAAAATGCTACACTATTTTCCATGGGATTTGTATTTATATGAAGATGGGAACCCTGGTTAAAGAACTAGAGACTTAATCTTAGGGGGTTTTTTTTCTGCTATTTTAATTACTGCTTCTTATTCAACCCTTCAAGCTTTGTCATCAGTTGAACAGGGAATTCATAGCAATTTTACATGTGCATAAAAGTTCTATGAACTTGTGGTATTACTAATTGCTTTTTAAAATTAATCCTTGTAGAGTTTTCTCCACCTCACAGGATAACTTGCTGAGAAATTTGGTTTTGTAACATCAGTTCATTAACGTTTCCTTCTCTTTCTTTGGAGAGCATCTCTGCTTCTCTTATTCTGTCCTAATGAACTTTTATGCTGGTTTATTAATTACTCATTTACAAATGGTGCCCAAAATTCTTTGTTCATCCCTGAAACTTTTACTGCACACACAGCCCCAGAAACCAGCTCACAGAAACTTTGGTAAGTA